CAAGTTCACTATCTTCTATTTGATTAAATTCAGATCTGAATCATCATTGGATTTCTCTGTCATCCACTCAAACTTGTGCTTGGTGTCAGTACAAAAGAAAGAGAACAGAAGGGAATAAAGATAGAACTTCAAGAACAAGATCTGGTTGTGCTGTATGTAATAATATTCCCCTCTGTTTGAAGAGCAGATGTTGGCAGGAGTTCTATTCTATATCTTAATTAGGGCTAGATCAAATAGATTACATAAATTACATAAAAACATGTCAATACAGCCAATCTCTCATCTAATCCAGTAGATTTTGTGTTTTTAATACACTAATGTACACACTAAAAAAATGTGCTAATTGTGCCTAGTGGCCAGACGAAGGGATATATTTAATCGATTGGAGCTACAGAGTATCTAGTTTGCCAACGGTCCACAGGAGGTAGACCGCATGGTCACACTGCGGTTTTAAATGACCCTTCTTCTGGCCTCTGGTCGAGTTGGAACTTCATATAGTGGGAGCCAGGCTTTGAGAGGGGTAAGGTAAGAAAGGAGGGAGAGGAGGGGGTGGTTTGTAACCTGTCGACTATACTTCACAATTTTGAATAGAAACAAAAGAAGTGTAAGGTTCCGTAGTTTGGCTGATAGATAGGCAGGTTATCTAGTTTTCAATAATAAGGAAGTAAATAAACAAAAGATAGATGAAAAGGGACCTCTTTATGTGAGAAACGGGGATAATTTAGTGTAGTCAATTCTCACGATGAATCAAATTTCATAATCCAGACTAAGAAGTTATACATAGTTATATTCAATTCTTACCAGTGAAACTGAACTGAGTTGAAAATGATATATGGCTGGTAGCCGACGATAAAATAGTCGATGAATCAATTTAGGGAATATGTCTCTGGAGCCCACTGCTCATGACAGTCATGAATAGAAAAAAAAGAAAAAAAAAAGTAAAGGAAATTGCTGGTCCTCAATCCAATCGAAGAGCTATAATATGAAAGGCAAGAAAGGCAAAGAGAGATATATAGAGAGAGAACTAAACAAAACAAGGTTGTTCCGTTCCAATATCAAAACAAAAAAAAAGACGGGATAACCACTCCCCCCAAGATTAGATATTGTCGAACACGACAACCATAGACAAGGAAAATTATACAAGATATATGTTTTTGATAACAAAGGAAAAAAAGCCCACAATATCAATAGATAGGTCTCCCTTCATCCCACTTTCTCATCCCCCGAATACCGCCACCGCTATCACCATCAAGGGCAGCTGCACCACTTGTCCCGTGACAAGTTTCACCAACACCTTCGCTCGTTTTTTCGGGAGATAAAGAAAAGCGTACCCTACCACCAATACTACTCTCCCTCCTCTTCTTCCCAGAACTCTCGCTCCACTCCCCACCCACACCCCCAATTCCTCCAACCCACTCCCAGACCCGCGACACATCACCCGCCCGCCCCTCCCTCACCGATGCGCGAACATTTGCATTACCTTCCACGATGCCGCGCACCCGCTTCCACAACATCTCCCGCCGACTGCCCTTCAGCTCATCCCGCAGCACGTCGTCGCGCAGCTGGCCAATAGAGATCCACGATTCCAGCGCCTCCCCGCGAGCATGCAACGCTGCTTGCGTGGCGAGGCGGTCTAGGGTCGTGTTCACCAACGAAGGGATGCGGGCAGTGTCGGAGCGGCGCGCAAGTACCGTCGAACGTGCATATGCTACGGCAACGATCAGAAGTGCTAGAAGGAGAAGAGGGAATCGATACGCGAAGAGAGAGAGGCGTAGGTGTCGTCGGAAGGCGCAGCTGAGCGAGAGATGGGAGAGTGATGTCGATGCGTATATGATGCTGTCGGATGGGCTGTGATTTCGTGAGCGGTGCTGTTAGTCCGGTTAAAATATGTATGTCAGATATGATAGTAATTTTGCAACAGAAAATGAAGGAAGAAAGTAAAATGAAAATAAGACAAGAGGGATATCGACATGGAGATGCGGTAGCTCCTCTTATTAAACACAAATCGAAAATATAACCCACGAAACGCCCGCACCCGTGCGGAAGGGCCCTAAAAAGAGCAACATAGAATGGAATCCTTACCCTTGGGTGGAAGTGGCAATCTCCTCACGGCTCGTTATTTCACCAATAGCTGCTCTCCAAAGTTCCTCGAACTCCTCTTCACTCATTCCCTTCCTCTTTTTCTTGTTCAGCTCCTCCTTAAGCTCGGCTGCTGTCATCCCCGGGGATGGTACCACAGTTCCGCCTGCTGTATCCGGTTCGCCGCATTCCCATTTTGATCTTCTCTCTCTCAACGCATCAATTGCCTTATCGGCAACCGATTTTACACGGCGAACTTTCTCCCCATCAGGCTCGCACGATGGCGGCAGGGGAATTAATCCTCCAAGGGCCAACGGATGCGGTTTCAGAAGGAAGTCCTGTTCGCATCTAACTTCGAACTCTGGGTAACAAAATGCATGCGGAGGGCATGGTTCACACTTTGGCTGCAAAACCTCTGCCCACTCTGGCACTTTGGTATCGGCCAATGACCAGTAAGGTTTCCCTACTCCGCAATAGCCAATCTCAATCTTCTCATTACGCAACCATGCACCAAATCCACTTAGGAGTGAAAAAATGACTACCCAAGGAGCGAGTTTACTGAACTTTCCCTGTTTCCGCGTTTGCCTGCGCCGGCTCCCTTTGGCAGCTTGCTGCCTCGTCAGCGATGGCATCTCTTCAGGAGTAAATTCTTCTCCAGGTTCCAAAGTGCCAGATTCATCCGATTCTTCAACCTTAGGCGTTGACAGAAGAGAAACAGATATGTCAAATGTTGAGCTTGACGGGACCTCCACATCCTCTTCTTGCTTCACTTTGACTAGTTCCGTTTTTCTCGGTCTGCGACCATGACTATCTGTAGGCTCAGTTGAATATCTCGTGCCGCTTCTCCGCTTTCGCTCAACGCTTACTGTTCGCGCGCGAGGATAATGCTCCGCTTCCACTGGCGAGCTTCCACTCTGGAAAGGGTTGTCGTCGGTGAAAACACCATCGTCGCCGGTCTTGTACTTGATCGGTGTGGGCAAAATATCTGCTGAGGTGGACGCTCGAGGAGTGGGAAATGCCTCGCTCTTCCGCGATTTCCGAGCGGTCGATCGTCGTGGAGTTTCTTCAATGACACCCATATCTTCCCCGGTTTCAGTATCGGATGCCCGGGGGTGTTTTGTCGTCGTTTTTCGCCTTCTAGAAGTAGAAGGTGGTGGTCGTTGTAAAAGAGCACTTTCATCCAGCTCGGCTGTAGATGCCCTCGTGCTGGGTCGAGACCTACCCCTCCGTGACGTAGCTGGCGTAGATGGTGGGGGCATCGATTCTCTCCCTTGCTCTTCATTCTCACTCCCCAGTGATGCGCCATTTCTAGGCATATTGGTAATACCTTTACTTGTCCTCCTCACTCGGTCACGCTCCCGTAGCAACCTCTTCGCATGTGGTAGCACTTCGTTTTGCAGGATCTCAATGAGTTGTGCCTTTTTTGCTGAGGCAGGGTAGGAAACATCATGGTGAACGAGGATAGAGCGGATGCGCGGAACTGTTAATGAAGTAAGATCGAAATCTGGGCTAAGATATGCAAGCTCATTGTTGCTTTCCGAATCTGAAGCCATGATAGGGCGATAGCGTGGCTTCAGCCTGCCCACTTCGACGAAGGGTAAAACTTGTCCGAGGGGGCGGGGGGAAAGACAAAAGAAGGTAAAAAGATCCGCCTCAATCACATCGGAAAAATGAGTGTGCTGGCTTGATTGAGGTGTCGAACCGAGGGAAGGAAAAAAAGTCGAATGTTTGAAAGGCTAACCCGAACAACAATGCCACTAGTATCCAGGGCAACCGCAGGAAGTGTGAAGGGAGTTGAACAAGGCTCGATTAACCAACTACTGCAACTCCAACCAGGGTTCAAAAGAAAGCGGCGAACAGAATTGCATAAAATCTTGGGTGGGTGCAGGTGAATGGGGATAGATTATGATGGTATCCGGGAGGTTGAGCGATGCAGGTTCGCTGCTGGAGGCAACAGGCGAGAGGCCAAACAAACCAGCATGATCATACTCACGTGATTCGCATCATGAATGGACTCCTTAGGAACAGGACAAGACCGCGTTGAAAAAGCTACAAAAAATACATATGCAAAAGCGCACTGTAATAAACTAACATATAAGGAAGTAGGCTACAATACCCTTCATCGTAAAAAGTACATGGTCACGCCAAACCTAACAACTATAGCAAAAGGGACACATAATCCAAAAGCGGACGATAGACAACTTGATGAAGCGAGCAACAAAAATCAATTTGACCAATAGAAAAACTAATATAACATCAGGTAAACATGCTCTTGAAGAAAAAGAATGAAGTGATATAGCAATACTATGGCTCTCAGGCGAAAATCCAAAAGGAACAAAACAAAAAGGGAAAACAAACCAGTAATCTGTGCCGTTACCGCCGAACCCAATGTTGATTGAAGAGGTCGATGGACATCAAGTCATATGAGCCAAAGGGTAATTTCTTGTGAAGAAAATCCCAAGAAAGGCCCAAAAAAGTCAACGAACAACAAAAGAGAGAAAGATATTTCGACCAAAAAGCCTAACAGTGAACAAATCCAACATATCCAAAGGTAGGCGACCATTAAATAAATTCCGCCGCTGATATAACATAGATATTCCAAGGACAAGAAACCTGAAGAAAAGGAGAAACCGGGAACTGCAGAAATGACAAGAAAACAAGGAGGCGCCAAATAGGAGGCGCTAGAAAACAGAGTTAATACAAAAAGAAACATATGTGTATAGATATATATAATAAAGCCCCGAAGAGGGAGCTAAACTCCCCACGCCATGCGAATTCGTTGACCTATGAAAAATGAAAAAAAGGGGAATGAAATAAAAACCGAACAGATGAAAACAAAACCAAATGATATAAGTGAAGGTTCCTTTCTAAGGTCAATTTTCAATCCCGCCCCCCAAGAAAAGAGAAGGAAAAGAACCAAGTCATGCAGGACTTGAACCAGAACGGGAACCACTACCGGTAATCATATCAGATACTGCTGATGAACTCTGGTTGGCACTTTTCAACACTGACACAGCTGGGTGTGGAATTTGATGACTCGCCAGGGAAGGCGGATCGATTTGCTCCTTTAGGGCTTTGAATTCGCTCAGTTGCACCTGCAACTCTGTCAAGATATCCGCCATGGGAATAGCGATGTCTTTTAGAGCGGCGGCGGAGTTGAACGGTCTGATCATATGTCGGATCGTGAGGGTATTCGCGCATGTCTATGGTGTTTTATCGGGTAATGTTAGTTAAAGGCAGTTCTGTGGTGATTGAAAAGGAGAAAGGAAAAGGGGGAAAGGTAAGCTAACCTCCACACGCGTAACCTGATGCTCTATCAAGCTCCAAACCTGCGCATCGGTAACTTCCCCATGCCGTGCCTTGACTACGTTGAGAAGGCTCATTTCCGGCTGTCGCACACCAACTTCGCCACAATTTTCTAGTGCGCTGCAGAACGCTTCCAACCGCAGAGCGACAGTCCACAGGCGCCAGACAAGACCTGCCTCGATGGTGAGATGCATATCCCTGCCTATGGAAATGGGCAGAGTGTCCGCTTCTTCGATTGAATAGCAGGGTGCGTTGAGACGACCGGCGAGAGAATGGGGATACATCAGGTAGACGAATTCAGGGTTCTCAAGCCCCTTTAACTTCCGCTCGCCCATATCCTTCACTTCAAACCCTTGGGTGCTGAGCTGGTATAACTCACGACGTATATTGTTACTGAGGTAATCATCGAAGCCACCCTCAGAAGCGTCGGTGGAGCCGACCTGATCATAGTCTGCAAAGGTCTCGAGGTTCCGCTGGATCTCCGCAACGAAATCGGCGGAGACAAATATTTGTCCGCCATCTGCGACGGCGGAAATGCGGGAGGCACGGTTCACCATTGGGCCAAAGTAATCCATCCTACCAGTCACTGGATCCTTTTCACACACTGGTGTTCCCCAATGCACACCCATTCGTACGGACAGACCACGGTATATAATATTATCGTCCGAGTCATACTGTGCCCTGCATGCCTGAGACTCCAAGATTTCTGTCGGCCACTCTGCCTCGAGAAGCTGGCTTTGGCACGTGAAACACCAGAGCAATGCTGCAGTTGCTGTGGAGAAGGATACCATGAAAGCATCTCCTTCCGTCTTGACTTCAAAGCCGCCAATCTGTGCCAACTGTCGGCGGAAAAGGTCGTTATGGATTTGGATGGCAGAGCGCATGGCAACTGGATAAGTCTCCCAGAGCGAAGTGGATTTCTTGATATCCGTGAAGATAATTGCCAACTCGCCAGTTGGGGCTTCTACGCGATTCAAGCGTGCCAGTCTTGAGTCGCTCGGCGCACCGCGTTTCCTGTATTTGCTTGGCGGAGGGAAAAGGTGTTCATCGGCTAGTGGCGATGGGCCCATAGACAGACTTGGGGTTCTCAACTTAGGACGTTCGCCCCGTCGTTTGAGATCACTGACACCAGCAATCATCACCATGATTTTATTTGTCGCGCCATAGGCAATTGCCAGATCACGAAGCTTTTGAGAGGCGATCATCAAGTCTCCATGTTCAGACCTCGCAACATCAACAACAAGGTCTGGTGCAACGAAGTCCCACAACTCTCCCGAAGCAAGTATAATCATTTCATCCTGGGCGGTCAACGTAACTTTTCGGGTACTAGGGGCCGCGATTACAGCGGGCATCATGGGATAATAGCCAAAGGCCCGAGAAACAGAAATTTTATCATTTAG